GAGCTCTTCAGAAGTTGGTGTTGGTCAGTCCAGAGTCTCAGTGTGTGATGGAGCAGGTCTCTGGGATGGTCAGAAGTTGGCGCTGGTCTGTACAGAGCTAGAATCAGAGTGATTGTGCAGATCTCTGGCTGCCTGCACAATCACAGACATTCTGATGTCCCATGGTGTGATGAGGATGATGATGATGTAGCAGAGCTAGTTCAGACACGGTGACGTCATCGCCCTCCCTGCGCGTAGCAGGGACCTCAATCGCCTGGGCTGCGGGAGGTCTCCTTTAGCTCACTCAGCTGGTTCCCTGTTGCGTCATGCCAAAGACCTGGGTTCGCGCCCCAGGTGTTGTGGGACGAAACGGGTGGGGTGGAGCGGCGGAGGGCATGACGGTCACAATGAGAAAAATCTAGGGGTCTCAGTGAAGTCTTGCGATAAACCGTTTCACAAGATTCCCTGTGCACATGTGGAAACAGGCTGTCTTTGAAGTAAGAATATACAATGTTTTAAAAAGCGAGTGGCTGTTGGCTTGCTTTAAAGACTTTCGAAAGTCGCAGAAGCGAGGTCTGGGTGAGAAAGCCACAGGAGACGTCTGCAGAGGGTAGGATGCCAGCTGCCTCAGCTTTGGCAAGCTCAGAAGACTCACAGGGAAGGCAGACTGGAGGAACAAGGACAGTACTGAGCAGATCAGGCCAGGACCTGATTCCCACATCTGAAAAATGTCAGATCTTGCTAAACTACCCAAAAGTGTGATACAGCTCATCCCAAGAAATGCAACACTTTGCACTTGAATCCCTGCAGACCTAACGCCTCCAGCAGAAGTGTGAGTTTCACATACAGTACACGCTTGGCAGTGTGAGGTGGGGGGGAAGGGGTCCTTCTTGAACTGTCACCACCACACACAAGGGGGGGCGACTTCCTGTTGTCAGGAGGAGGTGAAGAGAGGCTGTTTGTGCTCATCTGCTCTGGGCTGGACTGGGCTGGACTGGACTGGACAGACAGCTGGATTGACCGCCTCCTCCCTGCAGCAGAGAGTGACCGGCAGGCACAGGAGGAGGAGAGGGTAGCCCCCGAGGTCAGCCGGTCAGCAGGAGAGTCAGGAGGTGAAGAGAGAATGCCCGTGTTCCTCTGGACTGACCAGCTCATCCTTGTCAGCTGGAGATATGTATGTGTGTTAATTAGATTCAATTCTGCTTAAATTGTAGATTAAATTCGCAGACCTCTGTGATGCTCTGTGGGATGCAATTATTAGATTAATTAGGAAATTCTACTACCTGTGCTGCTGGCAGATACAACTAATTGTTGCTGCTGCTAGTACTCATGCTCCTGTTCTCCACCTGTACTACCTCAGTATTCATATACTACTGTACTCCTGTATGACTGCCTTAATCTCACTATATATCCCTGAATGCTGTACTACTGTACTCCTGTACTCATATACTCCTGTTCTACTAATGAATTCTTGCTACTGTACTCTTGTTCTCCTATACCACTGCTGTACTCCTGTAATACTGTACTACTGTAGTGTTGTACTGTTGTACTCCTATATTCCTGTATTACTGTTGTACTGGTATACCACTGTAGTCCTGTACTACTGTACTCCTGTACTACTAATGTTTACCTGTTACTGTACTTCTGTTCTCCTATACTACTGCTGTACTCCTTTAATACTGTACTACTGTAGTGTTGTACTGTGTTACGTCCCGGTGTGTGTTCTTTGTGTGTTTTTTTCTGTTATGTCCACACTGCTGACCCTTGATTGTTCTCCCTTCCCCATTGGCCCACCATTACACCACAATTTCAGTTGATGTAATCATCAATTAGCTCTCAGCCAATCAGAACACATCTTATTCAGCATATAACATGGTTTTCAGCAAGGAGAGCCTTTCGTTTGACTTTGGTCCTGTTTGGTTTTGGTTATCACTTTGCTTCTGGTTATTTGCTTCAGCTTTGTTGGTTTGTTATTTTGCTTTGTGTGTGTATTTTTGTATTGCTTTGGCTTTGTTGTTTTGTTGGTTTTCTGTTAGTTTCTTTGTACTTTCGTTTGTTTGTGTGTTTATCCTTGTTTTGCCATTACCTTGCCCAAGTGTTACATATTCAACTTTTGTGTTCTTTTGTACCCTGCTCCTGTTGATTACTCTTGTTTTCCCTTATTTGTATTCCTGGTTCACTTGTGTTTTCGTGTGAACTTTTGTATATAAGGTTAGTTTAGGTTGTTGGGTACACTTTACACACTTAGTTGATTTTGTATTAGTAACACTAGTTTAGTACGGGTGAGTGCTGTTTGTCTTGTATGGTTTTGGGTAGGCAGTGGAGGTTAGTTAGGGTGTTGAAGACGCCGAAGAGCGTGTGTTTCGGGTTTTCTTCTGTAGTCAGGTTAGCTTTCCCTCACTGTCCTAGCCAGCTCCATTTTGTTTATTTTTTCTTTGGCACCACTCTAGTTCCTTACCCCTGTGTATTATCGTGTCTTTCCAGTCACTTATTCAACTTAAAATCATCACTTTTGCACTGACCTTTATCACGCTTCCTAGTCCCTCACCAGAACCCACCTGTTTCCAAAAGAATTATCCTAAATGTTACACCCCTTTACTCCTAGACACTTGGGGTCATAACATACTGCTATATTCCTGTATTGCTGTTGTACTCCTATACCACTGTAGTCTTGTACTCCTAGCCTTTGGGCAGTCACTGGTGGAGAGGGAGGAAAGATTTCATCTTCACAGGTGTAGGTGTAGATACAAGGAGTCACAGCACAGTTTCATTCATTTGAAGAAGACACACACAGGACTTATGGTCTAGTGGCTGTTCCCCCACCTTTTTACTACAACGGCACCTAAGAGAGATAAGATCCCTTTATCAGCCATATACAATCTCTTGCATTAGGAGTTTCTTTTCACAGACCCCAGCTCGCTCTCCACAAGACACACAGACAGGGAGGGAAGCTGGGGGTCAGAGCGTGGGGTCAGCCATTTATA